AAAAGTAGTCTGCCTGTTCACCTTGATGCACAGAAATTTATTGGTGTATAGGAAGCTACGTGCTCATTTCAATTATGAGGTAAGCCCGCGCAGCTGCTCTTAAAACAGCTGAATAGAAGCAACATGCCCTTGCTCCAGGGTTGCATTTGGTCCCTTAGTTAAGTCTGAGAACCGACAGACTGAAGGATCAAATCCTACCCAGACCAGCCCTGAAGGATGTAAATATGAAACAGAGGAGATGCAGAAGGAATTTCAGTATTCATTAGTAAACAGGGCTTAGCTACAGCAACTAGGGAGCTTTTTACTCAGTTCTCCCAGCTACTGGAAGAATTACCTTTGGTAAAGGGGTGGGCAGTGAGGAGATTAACATTGCCAATTAAATCCACTTGCATCCAGAGCTTCATGCAGTGCCTCTCCCACACCACTAAGACACTGTCACCACTGAAATGTCATAACCTGTTTGCTCTGATGCCAGCAGATCTACTCAGCAGTGAACAGCTGGTGCCAAAGGTAGAGAGGAACAAGAGGGAGAAGATAGGCCAAATACAATATCCTCAGCCACCCATCTGTTTTCAGGGGAGGAGAGATAATATTTCATTTTCTACCTGTAAAGAAAAATGGATTCATGTCACATCCTTCCTTGATTATCCCCAGCATTATGCAATTCAATAGATTTGCTGTCTTGATTAGACAGGCAGAACAGAATTTTAATTGTGAGTTTCTGGAAGGCAAAATGGAGAGATTTGTATGAAAAAATTGGGAGGCAGCAGCGTTATTGGAAGGCTGAGCTTTTTATAGTCAGTTTTTCTGCTTCATTCGACCATCTGCCTTTACTTGTGCTCTGCTGCTTGGGGTTGAGAAGTTGCTGGCTTTAAAGATGAGCCGCAAAGTTTAACCAGATAAATAAATGTGTGCAAGATCTCTCCCTACTAGCAGAACAGCCTTCAGCATTCCAGCTACATATGTTGACAAAAAGAATGTTTTAATTTTAACATTATTTTTACTGTTTACCAAACAGAAATGATGCATGTAGTTGCTTGCACAAGTCACAGTTAAGGGAAAATCCCTTGCAAAAAGGCCTGAGAAATTTAGACTGATGAAACTATTTCACTGGGGGGGCAAACGGGGAAATTATATTTTTAAATGCATGCTTATAGATATATTGGTAGGAAGGGGAGCTATCTGGCCTAGTCCAGTGTTTGTGGATCAGGGAGAAGGTACAAGTGTCTGAGTCAGAAGCCAATGCTAATTTAAGGAATTTGGGGCTCAGTTCATGCCCAAAATCAGGGCTAATCTCAGTCCAGGACCAGATGAAATCAAACATGGCTTTTCTGATACCTTAATTCTACATTAGTGGTGAAATGTGTCAGGCATATTTACTGGCTAGGTAAGTGGGTAGTAAAGTCATAAGGTAGTCTCTGCTAAAAGGATTCAACCCATTTTGGGATCTTATTTGCAAACAGTGATTTTCAGTGAGGTATAATTTTCTCCCTGTCTTTTTAATCATAAAATCCCTGTCAACAGAAAACATCAGTTCTGCAGGTTCGTAAATAGATTGTCCAGAATTTGAATATACAAATTCCAGCCCCAATAATCCGTACTTTGAGATGTGTAAGGTCCCTGGCTTAATTCACTATAAGCAGGACCTTAACCATTCAGTGATGCGTTTTCTCTCTGAAAAACTTTAAAAGAATGCTGGGTTCATTCCAATGGGAAAAAGAGTTGCAACCATAAACAGTTTCATAAGGAAGGGAAAACGTTTCTTGCCTGGATCTAACCTTTTCCATAGGTGGAATAAATATTAAAATGTCTTGAAATAAACTGTTGCTACTAGACAAACTATTTACATTGCTAGATTGGAGTTTTCAGTGTGTTCTTGCCTGTAACATGACCCTAGCATGTGTCAGTCCATCTAAAAACTGGACTAACAGTTTTCAGATGTTTTAAGCATCTAAAAACTCAGGAAGTTTATACTTTTTAATCTGAAAAATTGTGCTGGAAGCCTCCTCAGACTGTTCAACATAAGGAGATTTCAGGAATTTCTATCTTCTCAATGGAAATATTTACATACAACACCTTGTTTTGTGGCTTTACTCTGGTCCTGGCAGTACAGCTGAGACTGCCTGGCACTCAAGCACTGTCCAGTAACATGGACACCTTTGTTTCAGCTACTGTGTCACCCCTCGTTTGCAGTAACCTCTGAGAGTACTTCTATCAGCAGTGCCATGTATGCAGGTGGGAAAGGCTTGCCCAGTTTTTGCACTAGCTTTGCTAGCTGTTATCTCTGCATCTGCACAGGAGGTGCAGTCGCTAACTGTAATGTCACTGTTTCTCCACCATTTTTCACTTTTATAGGTTTGCAACTGTGGAAGCTCTTGTGAGGATTGAAAAACCTGTGCCATCACCTACTATTTTGTGCAGAAACAGGAACACTTTTTTTAATAGAGGTCAACTTATGCATCACATTTACTTATAATATTTTTTCTTATCTCAAAGAATAAACTGTTCCTTTGGGGACAGTGCTCATACTTCACTTGGAGGTTTTTTCACTCCTTGAAAGAGCGATGCATTAAGAAGCAAACTTACAACAAAAAGTTAAAGAAGTATCTGTAGAAATGGTTATGAAATAGCTTTTCAACATTGTCAAATCATCTATGAATCTCATTTCAAGACATGTATAACAGATAATTAGGGACTGACTCGAGGAAATGCTTAAGATGTGCTCTTATACAGCAAAGCACTTAAGTATCAAATTATCTTCAGTCTTGGCTTTTACAAAAGCATTTATTTATACACTTTGCTAAGGCTGATACTGAGCAAGAAAAGCTCATCTGAATTTAAGGCACTTTACTGAGAAGATCAAGATAATATTTCAACTGATTAGCCAGAGTTAAGGGCTTCTCCTTCTCAGCAATACAAAGGACATGCTGATACAACTGAATTTATTAAGAACTGCAAATGCTTCCTGCAACCTCTAGAAAATGACGCCTTTTTCCTAAGGACCTCAACTGGGGCTTCAATGCCTGACGGTAGGCATGTGCATATGGAAATGTTATTGCTGGGTTAAACCCTAATCGGTTCCTATTTTTAAAGGGGTTAAGCAAGCAAGTTTGGAATCTGAACTCGCACAAACAAAATCCCATGCGCAGAGCAATGGGCTGTCTACAGTACCAAAGAAAATGCACTAACTGTTTCATGGCCTCTCCTTTCTGTGGCTCACAGAATCAGTACTGCTGTGCTTTGCGATAACACATTTATCTAACTACACAGAAATAAATGTTAATTTTAAAATGCATGAAATGTAAAAGAGAGAGAAAAGGAGAAAAGCACTGCTGCAACCTTCTGTTTGTATACCTTCTGAATTTTTATTCTATACATGAGTCTAACATCATTCATGGAAATACCAGCTCAGCACTGTTGAACAGCAGTCTGTTTCTTTATATTTATTTTGCCCCCTCATATTTTCTTCCATTAAAGTTTAGCAATGTACACAAACAAACTGCAATGAGAAAAAAGAAGACAAAAATGAAACTCATAAAAAGGCAGGCAATAGAAGTGACCTTTGTCACTCCTTTGACAGTATTTTGCACATTTGTCGGCTAGTGGCTAAGATTTTTTTTACACTTTCAGGCAACCGTAGATGATAACATGAATAAAATTGTATGGTGTCTCATGAATTTAACAGAAACATCTTATAGGCAATAATTGCTCTCTCTGGAGTGTACTTAAATTTAGAGATGGAATTCTTTCTGTGATTTATGTAGCAGCATATTTTATACCATGTAAGGTATGCTTTTAAATCTGCCTCCTCACATACGCACGTATTTGAAAAGTTTGCCATACACATGCTTACATAAACATAAACACACAGATTCATAGACATACACATACATAAGAACATGCAACAGGCTCCACATGTATATGTGAATAAATCCATGTATGAAGGCAGGTATTGGTGTTTGTGCAAATGCAGAAATTTCAAATTATCGCTGATTTGGCATTATGCACAGCCACAATGAATTATAAGCATATATATGTATATATTTGCCATAAAAGATGGCACTGTAAGAGGAAAATATAGGGAACGCTTTTGACTGACCTTCCAGTATTTTCCTTCCAGTACTTTCCAGTAGAGATTATGGGTAAATTTTGTGTCTATTTGGGATCACCATAAACTTCTGATTAGCAGAAATAACCAGATGCTCATTGCTTTGTGGTTTTATTCCTTTAAATAGCAGAAGACATTCTCAGTGTAATCATATGCTAAGGAAGCAGAAACATAGCATCTACCTGTCTTCAAGATTGTCTTCAACTGCTATAAGAGAGTGGCAGCCCAGTGTATTAGTTATGATAAAGACTGCAACAAACAGATTTTTGCAGCTTATGAGCCCATTCATTCCGTGTGCCAAAACATTTTCTATGCATGCTGTGCATAGTGCACGCAGCACTTTATGTTTAGTGGTACTCTTCAGTAATGCAACCACATGAACATCCTAATGCCGGTGACCTAGTCACATTCTGCTATGGCTGGCTTAATAACCTGGGGACTAGAAGCAAGGAATTTTATTCCTTTTTCTTCCACTTGCTGGCTTTCCCTTTTTCCTATCCCACAAATTTAACTAAGATTCCACAAATTTTCCCACTCTGCAGCAAAAGGAAACCAGGCCTGTGTAAGTTTTTCCATACACAAGCAAGGCTGGCCCATTACACACTAGCCTTCAGATAGGGGGCAGTCAGCCAGGACATACTACTTTGTGTAGCCAAGTCCCTGGATAGCCATTGTCCAGCTGCTAAACTACTGCCAGAAGACTCAAGCCTAGGCGAGGCTAATCATAGCCCCTGCACTGAAGAACAGCTACACCAGATTGTCACTGGAGCAGCCTTAGGACCCTGGCCTCCCACACCCCGCCTGAGCTGGTTGCCTGGTGGGCTGACAATCTATCTATCTAGGAACTTTTCCTCCAATGCAAAGACATTTAATTAGTAACAAGAGGTGGAGAAGCAAAAGACAAGGAGCAGCACAGTAGTCCAGTGCTTACCTCATTCAGCCACACTCCTTACTTCATTTGCAGCAAGGCAGAGAGGTAAATGTGTGTCTGCTGCCTAAAGGCGAGCTATGGAGACAGTTTTCTTTAACCAAAGAGCCAATTCAGTTAGCCTTTTTCACATTCACTACTCCTTCAAAAATATTCATTTCAGTTGGGTACCTGTAGAAAAAGTAACTGTTTAGCATAAAAATGATGGGCCAAGGCCCCCTACCACCTAGGCATAAAGGACTGGGGCTTTTTCATTTCTTTTTTCTCCTCCATGTGTCCTTCTGTGAGTCCCTCCCTGGAAATGGAAATGGTGCATTGTAATGCAGATTTCCTGCAGAATCTCACAGATCACTCTCTGCAGGGATTTCACTCTTCAGCTGAAATACTTTTCAGCCATGGTATTGTTCATTTATTCAACAGCTTTATTTTTAAACATGGAATGCTATAACTGTGCATTACTAATTCCTTTTGAAAGTATTATAGTATTTATTTTTTGATTGAAGCTTGAGGGCTTAAGATCATTTAGCTGAGTTTTGTTGGGGTCTTTTTTATTCCATTATTTATGAATTTAAAATACGCTATGAAAGGATCAAAATAAAGTAAAAGACCTCCAAACCCCACCAGCCTTGTTTTCCTTTCTTCAGTCCCAGCGCCCAGTCTGTTTCCTCTTTCATGCTTTCTGCAGAGAACCATTTTCTTTAATGTAATCACTGACTGATTGACTCTTGCCTCTGTTTTCACCTTCCTACTATTTGTGGAGGTCACAGAAACAGCAAAGGTTTCATTTAACTTCTCATTAGAGACCACACGTTGGCCCCAAAGCACTCAAGAGCACAGAGACAGCCAGAGAAACATCATCCACCTCAGCCCAGAGCCAGGGTGTAAGACCAGAACAGGGAAGTGGGGAAATCCTCAGTTCCGCCCTGAATTCACTCCCAGGAGCAGGTCTGGTCTTTGCCCTGGGTCACCTAATGCTGAAGTGATCAGTGTATGGTGTACTTCAGCAGTGCACTGGCATGTCCTCTTAATAGTGTCAAAAAATTCAGATGAGACAAGAGGGGTAACATGATGGTGAAGAACCTCTCTCTCCCCAGTAGGTAAAGGAAAGATCTGTGCCCCAGTACTACTGGTGCAGCTGGTGCAGAGGGAAGATTTTGTGGGCATATGCCCAAGCTTTTCTTCTGCAACTGCTTCAGAGATCAATCCAGTTTTGTGGAGTAAGGGAAAGACTGACCCACAGAAAACAAGATCTCTCTGGAGGAGGGAGAGGGAAAGGGTGGTATTCACTAGCTTTCCACACCACTGCAAGCAAAAGTTTGGTGTGAGCCTACTCTCGGCATCTTCCATACATGCTGTATGTCGAACCGATGGTAACACTTCAGCAGTGAGCAGAATACATTTGTCCTGTCCTGTTCTTACTATGTTAACCCATGTTCTCTCTTCACGATTCAAGTTTGCTGGCAGTTCCAGGCAGGATGGCTATGGGGATCTAAAGAAAATGAGCTCTGAAGGACTCTGTTTGGGGATCAGATATTAATTCTTTAAATGATTTAATGCAGTTTGGCAGATTTCAAAAATAAGCAGGATGGTTTGTCCTTGCAATGATGACCACAGCACACAAAATTTCCAGCCTGGCTCATGGAAAGGTCCTGAAGCATTACACTGATGTTCAAGAAGATTTTTGTACCTTACTGTAGCAGATCAGTCTGTAGGTCTCAAGCTTACTTAACTAGAAAAGACTTCATCCCACAAAGCATAGTATTATTTTGCTGAATCTGGGCCTCCAAAAAAACTGAGTCGTATTGTTGGTCTGGAGGTAATGACCACAGGTATGTTTTTATATCTTTAAAGTAAAAAACCAGCATATAATGAAAAGGAATATCTAAACTTTAGTTAAGAAACCCTTAGCAGAGGAAGTATTTCTTATGGGATAATAACAGTTGTAACCCCTTACATTACCTTTATAGGCTAAGCTCTGTTGTAAAATATGTATGGGCAGTTTTTTGATGCATGTAAACATAAATGATTGAATAAAGCATAATTGATTTAGAATTGTAAAAAATCAGCAGTCTTGCAGAAAAAATGGGCAGCAGTAGACGGATACATTTTAAGTACTAATGACTCTGCCTTAGAAGAGTAACTTTACCAGTGTATAATGCATGAGCGGTAAAATAGGTCAAACCCTGGAAGCATCCATGTCTTTGAAATCATTATGAATACAGTGGTTTTACTGCATCACCAATTGCATAAGAGCTCAAAGGCAAAGGCATATGTGGAATGCAAAGCACAATGAAAATCCTTGTTCTTGTGTCACAGATTAGAGAGCTACTACAGATTTTGGAGTCTTTCCCAATTTTAATACATTACATTCCTGTGGCTGGTACTTCTACATTTTCCTTTCTCTGTGTGATAGGAGTTTGTGCTTTTTGTAGTGTCCATAAGATTTCAGCTATTTGTGACACGGAAACTTGGCATGTTAGCAATGATAGTTATTTTTATTCAAAGAAAAGTTTGGCTATCCCGTTTCTATTCTGCTATGGCTTTGAGGAGGGCTTCATCCCATGTTATCCCATCCCCCACAAACAGGAGAAGCTTGTTCGCTGCCTACCTAACACTACAGCTGAATTTATGTCAGTCCTAGGTAATGAAAAGGCTTTGTTATTTAACAGGAAAATAATAGAGAGCCTTTGTGCAAGGATAATTATAGTGGTTTGGATATTTCTGGATTAACTCTTGGGATGAACATTCATCTCAATAAATCATTTATAAATATACATTAGCATCATGTCTCTCTCCATTTTATACTCTAGTTATCTTTCTTATACCACTCACAAGTTTATCTGGGGCTGTTTTTGTAGTACAGGCTTCAACACCCATCGTCTATACTTGCTGTATAACTGTAACAAAATAATCAGAACTTCCTGCATTTTACGTCAACCAATCTGTTTTCTGATAAAGAAAGCAGAAATGAGGTTGCATAGCTTGCTGGCTATGGGGAAGAGTGATTGATAAATATTTGCACAGCACTTCAAAGAAATAGGACTTGTCCCATCACAGCATTACTTCAGTTTTACATCAGTATTAACCGTGTAAACTCATGTCACTATCTTCTTAAAAAGCAGCTGATGAGAATTAGGCCCATAAAGGGCCATGTGCCATTGCTGCTCTTCTTGCACTATTTCATATCTGTTATTTTTGATCAGTTATCAGTTGCCAGAGCCAGTTCACCATCCAAGTCAGTGGGGGCTTTCTGGGAAGAAAGGAGTGGATGCAGGACAGTAGCAGATGTGGATGGCAGGTATTGAAGATGCCTGGCCAGAGGAGCAGAGTCACTTTTGCCCAGACCTCTTACTACTGTGAATACACTCCATGTCAAAGACCAGTTTCTGTGGAAAAAAGAAAAGCATTGAAATTGTACAAAGAGTCCTAAATACTGACCACAAAGATGCACTGCATCTCATGCCTTCATAGTTTATGTTTGTGGAAATCAACATGAGCACAAGACTTCACTGTATTATGTCACAGCTCCTTATTTTTGCTAGATGACCCACAGATACAGGCAATGACATTTTGTCCAGTATTATTGCCCTGGCCCTTAGGTCTGACTGAAGAGTTTTTGATGAAAATCAGGACACACAAGGTCCAAATATTTACCTTATACTTACAAGTAGTATTACTTGTAGTAAATTGTGCTACCTGACAGCTCTTCTCAGCAGAGGCCTACAAAATGGCCCTCTTTCTTTGAAAGAAAAGTGAGGTACAAAAGTTTATAGAAGAAAATGAAGAGTGGGAAAGTACTGCTATTATTTGAAATAGAAGTACTACAAAATTGCTGTGAAAATTGGAAATCCATAATTTTATTGCTAAACCTGGTTTTGCCTACAATAATAGTCATGAATAGTGGAGATGGGAAAAAAAAGACCCATTAGGTCATTTTTTCCATCTTCTTGTTAATTAAGAGTGTCTTCCTACAAGGATCTTGACTGTTTTGTTCATTTTAAAAATAGCTAAAGCAATGAGGGTTCAACTCATTCCCTTGGGAGAGCATTCAGCAGATTAACAGATCTCACTGCTAGAAAATTTTTTCTCATTATCAGCACGGATTTTTCTTTGTTCACTTTCATTCTGTTACTTCTAGTTATACCTGGTTATATCATTTCTATATCACATCAAATTCCATCATTTTTTCTCATGTACGTATTTCTTTCAGCCCCGATACTGGGCTAAATCTGAGCTTCAGTGAAGAAATTCAGAGTAGAGATTGGTTATAATAGGTCCTATTTTTACTACATATTGAGCATACAAACAAAGAGAATTGCTATTTAAATTCTGAATGGGAACTCTGAAGATCAATTTTTGTCTCCAACCAATTTTTTTTTTCCCCCAAGTATATGGCTGCTTCTCAAATCCACTTAAAAAGCAGTCAGAAAGCAGTTTACAGACACCAGATTCTTCCCTTCCAAGAAAACTGAACTGACATGCTGGAGCTGCAGATCACATAGTAGTTCATGTTTAAAGGAAAGGCAGGTCTTTTTGTTTACTACAGGACCAATACCAGACATAAGTTTGCTCAGATGGTTAAGATAGCTAAAGGTGAATATGTCCTCTATGCAGAAGGTCACAGCAGAGTGTGTATCACTTAAGTCTAAATCATGCTCTATGTATACCTCCCTCTGAAACTTTCTCTAATTGGGAGATTCTGGGAATTTTTCTCCATTTATCCATACTTTGGGTATTTCACTGTCTCCTGGAAAAGTCAGTTGTAAGAAGAGTCAATTAAACACTATCAATAATGGTGGGAGGTAGAACTCCTACTGTATAGTAAAACAGTGAAAGATGTGTAAGTAATATTGTTAACTAGTATTATACATATTGCTCCTCTTTCTTTTCACCCATTCTGAAGTTTCTAAGCAACTTTAACATTTAATCCCCTGTAAAGAAAGTGAAACCTTTATTGATTTTTTTTTTTTTTCCCCAGAAAACAGGGAGGAAAACCCATGAAGAAAAGCACAACAATCTTCCAGCCAGCGTCAAACAGGGAGAAAATGGAACCAAACTGCCAGCAAACAAATGAATAAATGCATTTCAGAAGCTTAATATTAACCTTAAATTGAACTAATCAATTATAATCATATATTTCCTGTTGGTTCTCCAAGATAGTTATCCTTTTG